TTGTTAAAGCTTTCCCACTTTGTAAAGGTGTGCAGGAGCATCTTCCTTTACCCTTCTTGAACTATTGACTATTAGTGTTTGTTCCTCTAACCTCACATACAAGCACTCTCACAACTATTTTGGATTTTTCTTTTCTTTATTTTTGCAGCAGCAGTTTGTAATGCAAATAGAAGCTACTTGAGGAGGATTATTTTCTGAAATTATTGTGGAGGGCCGTAATTTCTTGAACTGGAATTGGAGTATGCGTATTGGGATTTAACGGTTGGGGTTTTATGGATTAATAGGTAAGAGAAGGAGTGATATTTGTATTATATATAACATGGAAGCTGAGAACGCAGGGTTTCATCACCAGCAGCATCAGCAGGGGATATCGTTTAAATCAGGGACAAGTAGCGGCGGCAGCAGCAGCTCAGGGGTGGTTTCTCCGATGATTTCCATGGGAAATTACTATAACCACTCTGGGACTGACTCGAATTTAAGCTTAAATGATTGTACCACGGGGGCTGCTGGGGGAATTATTTTTTCTTCGCCAGGGGCTGTTCAGGCTGGGAATTCTTTCGGGTCGTCACTTCTTTTGGAATCTGTACCAGGGCTGAAGCATGATACGGGTTTGGCGGTTGAATGGTCCGTTGAGGAACAGTACAAACTGGAGGAAGGACTTGCCAAGTAGGTACTTTGTTCCAAAAAGGAAAATAAATTCTTTAAAAAGAAAAACACTAATGTGAAACTGCCATAAGTTTAGATTTTCAATGACCGAGGTACAATAAGATTGCATAGTTATGTAAGTATGTTTGTTGTAGTCCAAACTTTTTCTTTTTGTCTGGATTCAATTCAGAATGGCCACTTAAGGTGCTCATTAACACTGGTTTAGTCTTCTGTTCGATTTTGTTTTATGTAGGTTCTATTATTTGGCCCAAAAGTGCTTGTAGGTACTAGTTAAGAGTATATTTTTACAAAAGAAAAGATTACAAGGCTTGAGATGACGTGTGTTTTCTGTAGTGGACTTGTCTGTGTGTATGGGCGCAAGTGCACATAGGCATACGCATTTAGGCTTCTAGGCATATTACAAACAACAGAAATTCCGTCAAGATTTGTGCTTCAGCTCCTATTTCTGTATATGCAATAAGAATACTAACCTCTAAATTTCACATCTAAAACCAAACGTCTAAAATTCTCAAAGTTTAAACAAAAAA